CCCACCGATTACACAAAAACCCTTTTGATCCTCACCCAGCGCGCCTTCAAAGCGCTTTCTACACCAGCCGATGGAAAAACTGAACAGGGCCGCTTGGCTGCGTGGAGATGGAAAGAAATGTAAAATATCATGGAAAACAAGAGCCGAGGGGTGAGGTTGCTTCTGGTGGGGGTCAGCGTGTGGGCTCACCTGACATCCCGAGCAACACTCCGGCTCCCCGTGACGAAACCCCTTCTGGTCACCTGTTGCTCCATGTCGCCAAAGCAACATCTCCTTACCCTGCAAATTCCTCTGCGGATGGCGCAGATGCCTCCACACTTGGTACAGGGTCTTGTGCTGCACGCCTGTCTCCCCCTGCACACCAAAGCACCCTGAATGGGCCGGCATCCCTCCGAGATGGGCTGGGGGATCCATCCTATTGCACCAGGGGCGATGTGCCAGAGGTGCTGTTGGCACAGAGATGAGCAAGGAGGTTCAGGGCACCATCAGAAATCGCGACGCTGGGCCCTCTTCAAACAAGGGTGGGAGATGGGGGTCTGCCCCGACCCTAAGGGCAGGATTTGGTAGCTCAAGTAGAAACACTCAAACAGGCTCAAGTCTCGCACTCAGACACGAGTGCCAGGGTGAGTCTTATCTCTGCACTAGGTGAACCCACAGGTGTGGTCCGGGCTCCACTCGAAACCGATACAACAACACTTGCAACCCTCACCAACAGTCCTCCAGGGCCTCGGGCTCCGTCTTCATCTCCCCACCTACAAAATCCTTCCCATCAGGACTATTTGGGACTATTCAGCTACCAACAACAAGCAACTACAATTGGCACGGCATCTCCCACAGTTAGAAGGCAAAACCCCATGACAGAATCATAAGCCATCCTGCAAACGCGTCATATCCAGCAGCGTCCCCTAAACATGCCGCACAGGGGTCTTCTGGGACCCTGCCTGCGATTTGATTACTAGAACCCTTTTAGTCTTTACCCTATTCCTGCCCTTCTTTTCTTAATTGCGTTTGCTGCATCACATCTAAAATTAGGAGCTCAGCTTTTTGGAACAAGGACCGCATTACATCTCCATTCTGTAAGCTGTACGACACACTTTGAACACTACATAAATAAGGCGGCGAGTAGTAATACACCAACTGTAAGGGGCAAAGGCTCTTCCAGCGCAGCTCCATGCTTGTATTTAAAGCAAGTGTTTTGATTGCGGGTTACATAAAGAGCCCTTGTAATCCTGCAATAAAGTTACCCATTGACAGCCTTGCCAATGCCCTCTCCCTCTCTCAGACGACTCCTATGCCCCTTGCAACATCCTCCCAAAAACCTGGAGGTCTCCGGCTGACGTCCCAAGCCTGACTGTCTCAGCTTGGACCATCTAGAGATCCCCAGCTCCTTTGCTTTTAAAGGGGAAGACAGCAGAAAGCCTGACTCAGGCAGAGGTAGGACAGAGCTTTCCATACAAGGCTTGCAATTAAGAAAGAAAACACGCCAGAATGAGATTTCAGACTTTCCACGCTACAGGGCTTTCAAAGCGCATTACGCATTAAGGAATTACTATAAAGTCATTGCCGACACCCGACAAGTGCAGATGAACTCGAATTTTAAAACTCTTTCTACACTGAAAGACAAACCCTGGCCAGAACATGAGTGCCTGGCAGACAGCCCTGCTGGTGTTTAGCTTCCATCCTCAGACACATACAGCAAACTGAAGACATGCAACCCTCACCTTCAGCCAGGCCAGCGATGACTTCCAGAGGGCAGAAAAACAGCGTAAGGTTCAACCAGCGATGGGGATCTCTGCCATCGCGTCTCAATTCAGCACCGACAGTTACGCAGGGAATACTCTACTCATTCCCAAATGCAGTGATTTAATTCCCGGGCAGCCGTTTTAGTAAAGTTACCCAAATTTCTCATTTATCCGCAAGTTATTCCCAGCTCCAGAGCGCTAGCCAAACAGATGTGCCCACCAAGGATAACACGAGAGCTGACAGGTGAAAAGAACTACAGATGCTTAAATCTTCCTTGCCGTGCCTCTGCCACTCAGAGGCACGACACGGATTGCCAGCACATTGCAGCATGGTAGGCAGAGCACCATCCCTCTCCCCATCATTCAAAGAGCCATTCTCCTGCTCTGACAATCTTCACACATCCTGTAAGGCAGACTGACACTTGTCACTCATTTGTAATGAGAGCGGGGAGGGACGGGCTGATGGTATGAATCAGAGAGTAGAAGCATATGCGAGGCAATATATTTGACAAGAAGAGAGAGAAGACACAAGGAGGGGGTGAGTCACTGTTTACTGTTCTAGAGGAGCT